CCCTCAGCAGTGTACTTCGTCAATTTGCCTGTTCTGTTCCCCACTCTGTCCCTGGTGAATCCTCTCACCCTCCGCATCTCTGGCCTGTACCGCAGTTTTGTATGAACAAATAAATAAATCTTTAAAAAAAAAACACACACAGGAAATGTCATTCATGTTTGATAACTAATATTTCTAAATTATTTGCTATACTGCAAGTTTTTAATATTGTTCTCAATTTCCATTTTTTCCCCCAGTACAGCTACTGAAACAATCTATGAATAAATGGAATAGCATAGTTCAAACCCATATTATTCAAGAATCAAATATATTTTGAAATGACTCTTTTGAAGCCCTGAAACCTCACTAAGACTGAGCCACATGGATCACTGCTTTATACAGATGTGTTTACAGATGTCCAATAAAAAGGCTTCATTAAGTCCTACATCTTCAACTGTTCCTGGTTTCCATAATGATGTGTTTGAGGTTTAGGGATATAGAATCTGAATAATTTCACAATATTAGACAAGGGAACTTTAAGGCCTGTAGAGTTTTGAGATTTCAATTTCACAATTTTATTTGCTGTCCAAATTTCTAAGGGAGAGAGAGGGAATAACATGTATTCCTCAGAAATGATAAAGTCTTGGACAGTAGAAGACTAATTTACATGTCAGTATACATATAGGTGAATAAATCAAAGAAAAGAAACCATGCCATATGAAAGACTCTCCTTCCCACAATAAATTAGTTCATGATTACCCTTATAAGATTATTCTGATCTACAGGAACTTTCAAAATTCTGGAAATCATAGGATTTTGTTCCCCTGATAATCCAAACCAATCTAGCTAGTATTGAACAGTGTTTCTGAATCAGGTTTGATTCTTACACACATCCTTAGATCCTTAGATACTGGAATATCTGGAAACATTTTTGGTTGTCAGGACTTGGAAAGGCAGTGGAGGGTACATGAATGCTTAGCAGCTGGTGTGTAGAAGCCAGAGATCCTACAAAGCATCCTACAATGTACTGGACAGTCCCCCACAGAACTAATATGGCCCCCAATATTGATGGTGTGGTGACAGAGAAACCTTTGTCTGTATCCCTTCTGAGGGTCCTATTTCTCCAGTCACTGCCTGGAGTTTCTCCTGTTTCCACTTTCCTATTGTGCTGTGGAGTTCTACTCCTTTGCCTTTGTTAGGACCACCAGTTTTTCAGCCTCTGATCTTTATTAGATCAGTGAATCTTTCCACCTGCCATCTTTGTTAACCCAAATTCTTCCTCAAAGTTAAGCATTGGGGGCTAAGTACCAGAATGAACCATATGGGTTTTGGGTACAGACTGAATGGGTGAAACAACAATTTTACCTCTTACTATTGGCATAGTATTGGCTAAGTATTTTAGCCTCTCTATGCCTCAGTTTCCTCACTGGAAAAAATGTGCATCAAAATGGTACCACGTAACAGAAAATCGTTGTAAGAGTTAAATGAGGTAATTCTAGTAAGCACTGAGAATACTCCTTCCCTAAAGCTTCAAGGCCTAATAAGTGCTATTGTTCTTCAAAAGTCCACTAAGTTCCATATTCTGCAAATCTCTCTTTTCTCCCTATCTCTGGGGCCAGAAGGCGTATTTAGTCATGATGGTATTTACTCATGTTTGCCCAAGCTCTGGATGTTTTATATCTTCTTAATGGCCAAAGGTTCTAATTGTGGAGAGGCAGGAAGTAGCTTGCTTTTCTCTCTGGTTTTGCGTATAACACCCTCTCCCAGAGGGAAAGAGCATTTGGCTACATGAAGGTGGGGGAGGACAAAACAGTGGAAATACTGCCCTAGAGACACACAATTCACCAACTATTGATGGAAACTAATACGTAAATGGATGAGAGAATGGATATAAATTGGACAATGCCTGCTTTTCTGACATGATGGAGCATATGGATTGTGGTGTCTTTCTGGAATGAAAATTGTAGGAAGAAAATGTTTGTGGGCAAGAAAGGTTCATTTTTGGCCATGAGTGTGTGGATCTAGATACCTCACAGGAGGAGTTTATGGATTTAATCTCAGGAGAGAGGTGAGAGTTGGAGATACAGATTTAGAATTTTCAGTATATAAATGATAGTTGTGTCAGTGATGTTTAAAAAATATATAAAAAGAGTTGGTTAACTTAGAAAAGCAGTTTATGGATGGATGGATGGATGGATGGATGGATAAAAGAAGAAATCACAAGGGAGACAGGTGAAAAGTAGGAGAAAGTCATGTCCCAAAATCCAAGAGTATCATAGAAACTGTCACATATAGGGAGATTTAAGTATGACAGGAGACTGACAAGTGTCTGGCTATAGATAGGCAATTTTTGCCTTGATGAAACAGGGTCAGCAATTCATATGAAAACAGGAAAGAGATGGTCGCATGAACAGAGAACCATTTCTAGTAAATTGCAGAGTCACATCTTCAGGAAATAAACTTTGTCAAATATTTATGTTCCATTTATTTTGGTCTTAGGCTATTTGCTTGGTGATTTTTTTGGTGAATAATGAAGGATGGCTGTGACATTGTTTTGCCTACGTTGTTTAGTCAAGATGACTTGCAAGAATGCTTTGCAATATTCTGATTTTGAGTTTCTCACCTTATGGAACCCTTCATTAGTATTAGTTTGATCTGCTTCCATTTCTTGGATTTTTTTGGTATACAATAGGAAGGGTCTCATTTTTTGTTCAACATATTTGGTCTTAGGCGCTTGGGCTATATCAGAGAATAAATAAAATACAAAATCTTTCCTTTGCATCCCTTATGTTTCAGAGAGGTACACTTGTAAGAAGTGGGTTCAATTATTTTAAAACATGAGCATTAAGCTGGAAAATAGAATGAGCTCCATAAAGTGAAAAAACACAAAATGATACTCATCAAAGATTGAATTAGAAAGTTTTAATTCCCGGTTGTGTGGCTTTATTTTTTGTCTTAGTAATGCCAAGTTAATTTTAGAATTAAATTTTACTAAATAAAAACAAGTGTGTAAGTCATTTTTTAATATGAAAATTCCACCTAAGTTTGAGGGGGGGGCTGTGGGGGGGGTATTATCATCACTACCATCATCATACAACAACCAGATCACACAGCTGCCATGCCCAGTCAGCCATTTCAATCCTGTAGACCAAGCCAGGAAATCATTGAAGGCCAGTGAGAAAACAAAGATGTTCTACTTGCATTTTTCACCATAACTGGAAAAACAAAGTTATATGCATTACATATAAAATACACATTTCATATGGAGTGTATTAATAACTCATTCCTATATGATATAGTTATAATCAGGGATACATTATTCATAAATCAATTTATGCTCTCAAATAAGGCACTGAAATTAACTTGTATTTGGAGGGAGGGATCTACTCTGTGACACCAGATTGCATAGGCTGAATTGAGGATATTAGCCCTTGTTTAAACACCAGACTTGCAAGAGTGTATTGCAAGTGGTTTCTGCTTTGGGAAATGCTTAAAGGTCAAAACCAAAATACAGAAAATGAAAGAGACATACGTGATTTCCCTTGGTTATTTTCTATTTTGATACTTTTAAACGTGTGTTAGGAATTGCAGAAACTGTGTCCAAACTTTAGCGAGTTTCCTTTTGCATCCTGTCAGGCATTTAAAGATGGTGTTTTGCACAACTTTAAAATTATTTTATGTTTAATCTTTCAGATCATAAGGCCTATGGAGTCTCTTCCCCGAAAGACCATCAAGTAGTCACAGCAATAGAGTATCAAGGTAGAGTACTTTACTGATTTCCATGGACCACACTACTTAAATGACTAAAAAAGATGAGTATACATCTCGGCCTTGCCTCACCCTGATTCCTCTGCCAGGAATGACATCCCTTGCTATCTCCACCTTGGAAATTCTTCTCCAGCTCTTCTGTGGAAATTTTGGACATTCAACAAAAGACCTGATATACAAAAATGGTTTCTTTCTTCATAAATTATGCCTAAAGCAAATCTAACTTGTGGCACTGGATGAGAAGAGTCATACTGAGTTTTCAGCCAGCTAGCTATGGCAAGTGGAAATTACCTCTGAAACCCACTCTTCATATTTGAGATGATATTAATGTATCCTGTATAGGCATTCCATGTTGTTACTTATTTTAGCTTCTTAGACATTCTTACAAGAGTAAGTTGATATTTAATGGGTATGAATTCTCAGTTTTGCAAGATGGACAACTTATGTGGAGATTGGCCATTCAACATTGTGAGTGTACCTAAACACTGCCTGACTGAACTGTTTAGTTAAAACCACTAAGATGGAGATTTTTTAGTTTTGTGTAGTTTACCACAATGAAAATATTGTTAAAAAATGCCTAATAGTCAAAAAAAAAAGGGACTTTTATAAGTTCCCTTCAAATGCCAACTATTAGTTGTCTGAATGATCTTTCACTAAACTATAGTTCATAATATTTGGCAACTAGAAGAATTACTATTGCTTAAAGCAAAGCTTTTTAGGCCAGAGAGTGTAAACACATAGTAAACAGACCCCTCTTCTTCAGGCATCTCTTAGGTTCCTGGAATTGGAGAAAGATAGATTTGAAAAAAGGAACAAGGTTAACGAAGAGGACTGGGGTGGAGGAATTCAATGAATTAGCATTTACCCAGTGCTTACAAATAGTGTCTGACATATAGTAAGGCTTGTATGTGCTTATTTATAAAACTGTGCAATCATCAAAATCAGCCTGTGAAGAAATAAGAAATCACTTAATAAGAAATTGCGTAAATATTTATGTTCATTTCAGTCCTAATAGGACCATCACTCTTTATAATGAAATAGTTTTAAGTGAGGAGAGGTGGGTAGAGGAAATTAATGATGGGAGCAGCTGGCATGATGGAACACTTACAGGGAAGACATGATTCCAAAGAGGAGCCTGGACAGCCAAGAAGGAGCAGGGTGGGAGAGGAAAAGATGGCTTGAGATGTCCTTAGGGGGAAAAGGAAGTGAAATTAGTTTCTTCACTACCTTTTCTGTAAGTTCTTGCTGTTAAATCCAACAACCTGAACATACTTCCAAACACTGCTGCTCTCCAGATCCTATGCATTGATATCTAGTTAAGACATCAAATGTCTATTCTTTGGTCTTCCATTAGTACTTGAAACTTTTAAAAAATATTATTTTTTTATGCATATAAGAATTGGGTTACTGACCAGAGGTGTGAGTATGGAGGGGCGTGAGAGGATTCGCCAGAGACAGAATGGGCAGCAAAATAGGCAGATCGATGAACTACACTGCTGAAGGGAGCAGCAGGTGGTCAGGAGAGGTCTGCTGTGCCATATGGGTCACCTCCGGGGTGGGGATCAAACTGGTTGCTGCAGTGACTGAGAAATTCACATAACATAAAACCCATACTTTAAACAATTCAGTGGTAGTTAGTACATCCCCAGCGATCTACAACTATCTCCTCTGTTGTAGAATATTCTGTCTCATTCTTCTTAAAAAAAAAAAAAAATACCTATTACACTGTTTACATTACTTTTCAATTTGTGTTGTATTTTTTTTTAAGATTTTATTTATTTATTCATACAGAACTGGGGTACAGGCCAGAGATGTGGAGGGTGAGAGGATTCACCAGAGACAGAGTGGGGAGCAGAACAGGCAGATCGACAAAGTACACTGCTGAGGGGAGCAGCGGGCGGGTCAGGAGAGGTCTGCCACGCCATGTGGTCACCTCCGGGGCAGGCGGGATCGAACTCATGCGGAAGCGGCTTTAGCTTCTTAGTGCTGTGCTTTAACCTGCTGCGCCACCAGGGAGGGCCTGTGTTGTATTTTTAATGTAGCAATTTTTTTGATAATGGATGGCCATTTTCTATTTCTATTTTCAATTCTCTCTCCTTTTAATTAAGGATTTAAATTTTCAACTATATTTTATGTTTTATTACATGAAAATTTCCAAATAAGTCTGAGTCACTCAAATTTGGTTCTCCATAAAGCAAAATTAATTTCTCAGCTTAAATTTTAGCTTTGGGATACTTTATGCAGTAAAACTTCCTCTTACTAAAAGCCTTAAATACTTATGATCTGTGTATGTGTGTATGTGCGGTTCACATTCATTGTTTTTATGTCTCTTCTACCTCTGACATCAGCAAGCAGAGAATTAAATCCTTCCTGTCTACATTGCTGTCCTGTGCCTCTTCTCCTCTGGTGCCCAAGGCAGAATGAGGCTGAAGTGAGGCAGCTCTGCCAAGCTTATAAATCAAACAAGCAGCTTTATATAGACAACAGCCAGATACAAGAGTTGGAAATCAGTCTGACGGCATCCTTTTCTCTACAGATGTGATTGTTGATTATTCTTTAGAACTACTTTGATAATATCCATTTAAAATTTTGATGATATTTAACTTGAGCACAGAGGGTAAAAGCCAAAGCAGTACAGAACCCTAGAAAAATTAAAATTCACAATGATTCTATTGATATGATTTCTGTAAGTGATGATTTTGCTATGGGTTGTTACTAATGCTTTTTTTCTACACACACAAAAAAAAATTATCTTTCCTCAGTCCAAGTAGAATATAGTTTTGGTAATGCCATCATCATCTTAATAGAAAGACTTGGCATATTTTAATTTTTAAATGTATTTTTTTGAGAAAATATGGCTTATTTTACTCTTTGCTATCACAGAGATGATATACTTCAAATATGAGTGATTTTAGGTCATTTATGAGAGTATAAAATAAGGATTCTAATCATGTCAGGGCGATCTTACAATTACAACAAAGAAGTTCTTCATAAATAAGCTAGCTTGATGAATTAAAGAACACAAACCATAGACAAAACACCTTATTCAGGCACTCAAGTGTGTAATTACCTTAACTCCAGTAATTTCTGTAACTTTGTGAGATGCTACTGTCATTGTTTGTCTTTTGAAGAAGAGGATATAATGTCCCAAAGAAGTTAAATAATTCACCTAACTTCAGACCTACCAAATGTAAGAGATCTAACTCCAGAACTCGGCTTCAAACTACTGCATTATGGTGTCATCACCCTGAGGGCTAGACACAGACAAAGATGCCAGTTCTGGGGTTGTCTGGGCTGGACAGGGAGTAACATGGTGGTCAACTTCCAAGTTCACTGGTCTTTGTCCTTTGTTGCTAATCCCAAAATTCTAGTTGTACTGTTTCTAACAATTGTAAAGGTTAAGGTGTTGGTATCCTAGAGTCTAGGTATTAGCTTTCCCTTCATGGAACAACCTTGTTCGTGAATTCCAAATTTGAATTTCAAGGAATTCTAACTTAATGTCTAAGGAATCTTAATCCATTCTGTTGAATTGAGTGTGACATCCCCTTCTAAATGAGGGGAACTCTAACTGCCTGCTAACCCTCTAGCACTGCCCAGGGTTCTGTACTCTGCTCTACTCTTACTCATTTTTGTATTTCTTATCACTTACTGACATCATATACAATTCACTTTCTGTAGTTCATTGTTTGCCTGAGTGTCCCTCCTAGTTTGTAAGATGCACAACAGCAGGGTTCTGTGTGTTACTCACTGATATAACTTCAGACCAAGGCCAGGCACACAGTGCATACTCAATAATTTTGGACAATTTGGGCAGACCAAATGTTTTACGTGGCTAGGAGGAATGAGGTTAGACAGTCACAGCACTTGAAAAAACCACTTGTTTCTTTTTCTAATTCTACAGAGGTTTTCTTTCCATAGAGTCATGGGTACAGAACTCAGAAAAAATTCACCAGGAGTGTGAGTATGTGTGTGTTCTGTTGTGTCTGGTTAAATTTATGAAACCACATGATTTTTTGAGTGAAAGCCTATTACTAAGGTCTAGGAGTATGGGTTTAACATGAGTGTGGGTGGGTATTTGTTGGAAACTCAACAAAATACGGGAAGGAAGCCTATCTAAAACTTAAGACTCCGGAAGGTCACCACCCATTTTCCTTAATCAACAGAACAGAATCATGTTTCCTCAGACAAGTCCCTCAGCACACATTTGTCTTTGTAGCATAATTGTAAACATGTCTGTAAAATGATGTCTCTTTAAAAGGTTTTGTTTTCTTATTTTTCCCTCTTCATCTTTCTTTTCTCTGTTCTATTTTCTACTTTCAATTACCTTTTATTGTATTTATGTATTTCAAGCAATCTGTGTTTAACTGAAAAAAAAAAATAGAAGCAACATTTAGCAAAAAGAAAAATCATAATTCTATCACCCCAAAATCCTGCAGGATTAATATTTTCATGCATGTTCCTGCAGGCTTTTTATCCTTACGTATGTGTATGTTGTTCATGAAATCTGGGGTAATAGTATAAGAATTATTCTTCAATCTACCTATCCAGATCCTATAGTGTCCCAAAGTCTTTTGAAAATGGCATTAAATACGCTTAACCTGAAAAGTAGTGGTATGGAAAAGATATTTGCATAAGCTCTAGTCCAAGATACTATACCTATGTGTTGGAGGTAAATGAAAGTCTCAGGAATATGAAGTCGAAACTAAAGAACTAAGCTAAAATACATTTTTAAAATGATATAAGTGGAAGTTTCCATTTAGCAACTTGAAATAATTGGAGGGCCAGCAGAGAGTCCTCCTTGTTCCCAACACTCACACACACACACACACACACACACACACACACACACACACACACAGTCATCTAATTTGCATCCTAAAAAGAGAGGGACTTCTTTAAGGACTTAACTGCAGAATGTTTCCTGTGCTAAAGTGACCTTGAGGCTGTTAAGCTCAATGTCAAGATTCAAACTTGAAATCATTTATCTGGATTGAGCTAAGGAATAGAAATTGACAATTAGAAGACCTATTGGGTTTGTATCAATGTACTTGTAGAGAGGGTTATCAAAACAGGGATCTGAGTGAGAATGTGACAGATTGATAGAACATTGGATTCCACTGAATGGCCCTGGCTGGACTAAATGCCTTCACGAGGCTACAGGTGTGAAACTTATTCTAGGTGAGCCTCCTACTCACCTCCACCTGCACTTCATTATGTTGGACTAATGTTACGTTATCTTATTTGTCTTTTCTACCAGACTCTAAAGTCTTTGTAGAATGAGATTTTGTGAATAAAATAATTAACCATAGCTGCCATTTTGAAAATATCTACTGGGCCCGGGCTTGTGTGCTTTGCATATATCATCATATTTGAAGACTCACAACAAGTCAATGTGATATTATCTTATTTTACAGATGGTAGTTGAGCCTCAAGAACTAGATCACCAGAAATAAGTAGCATAATGTTACACAATTATTATATGCTACAGTGCTGCTATTTCATCTTTGGGTTAAGACAACATGGTATCCATTGAAGTAGTTTATAAATGATGCATTAATAAGTGAACGAATACAAATATAAGGGGAAAAACTCCTAGGTACATACTCAAAGGACACAAAAACATTGAATCAAAAGGACACCTGCACCCCAATGTTTATTGCTGCTCTATTTACAACAGGGGAAACGTGGAATCAACCCAGATGCCCAAAAATAGATGACTGGATTAAGAAGATGTGGTACATATAACAATGGAATATTACTCAGCAATCAAAAAGATAAACTTGTGCCTTTTGCAGTAACATGGATGAACCTGGAAACGATCATGCTTAGTGAAATAATCTAGAAAGAGAAAGACAAATACCGGATGGTTTCACTCATAGCAGGCATATAAAGGATCAGGGAAGAAAAAAAAGAGAGAGAGAATAACATATATAATAGAGTAAAAATGAAAACAGTGAACAACTATAAACCAGAGACACTTTATAGGGGCATGAGGGGGAATGGGATCAGAACTGGGGTGGGATAAGTACACTGGACGGTGGTGATGGCACACAGGTGAATTGGTGATGGGAGGCCCATGGGGATTACAACTGAAATGGAAAAATGCACAAAATGAAGAATGATGTAAAATGATTAAAAAAAAAACAATTCTAAAAAGGAAAAAAAATATATGGGGAAAATTTAAGTATGCTTAAAATTTTGTGACTTATTTAAATCCAGTATAATTTCATGGGCACAATCGGAAAACAAGTGTTTTTGCTGTTGTTCCTAGAGGTGGTTTTGGCCTGTAAGTACCCAAGGAAGACCACCTCCTCCAGACTGGAGTGGAAGAAGCTGGGGCGGAGTGTCTCCTTTGTCTACTACCAACAGGCCCTTCAAGGTAAGAGGCTGTGGACTTGATGAGGTGAAGTCCTGGAGAACAAGCCCAGCCCAGTCCTTTAATTTACAAAACCAAACAGGATATGGCTCATTACTGAGATTGTGATTTTCTTAGTGTGAGATGAAACCAATAGTGACTGAGACCTGAAACACAGCAGCCTGATCCAAACAGAGGACAGAGAAAAGAAGCCAGTGAGATCCACTGAGTCCCTGGGCCCTGCAGCTGATCTAGTAGATCAAACTCTTGAGAGGGAAGAAAAGATGATAGGGCCTTGGGATGGTCAGTCTCTTTATTTTACTTTGAAAGATTTACTTATTTATTACAAAAACTGGGGTAGAGGCCAGCGATGTGGGACGGGAGGGGGGGGAGGGGTAAGTGGATTCACCAGAGACAGAGTGGGGAGTAGAACAGGCAGATCAAGTGAAACACACTGCTGAGGGAACAGCAGGAGACAGGAGAGGTGTCAATGGATCACCTCATAGTGCTGCACTTGAATGTATGCCACCAGTCTGTTTTAATGACATCACTCTGTACCTACATCTCTGTCAGAAGCTCAGGAGGGAGAAAAGACAGGAGGGCTGAAAGCTGGGAGGATGGGGGCGGGGGGGAGTATGAAGTAAATGTACCTCCTTTAATTCAGTGCTTTCTTTCTTTTTAAAAATTTGTTATGTATTTCTTCTTGTTATTCATCCTGTTGAATATGTGGTGAGCTTAAAGTGTTAATAATGATGGATAAGATACGCTGTCTGGAATTTGCCTTAAAATAAAATAATCCAGGGGTTAGACGTAAAGATGCGTTGATTGCTGTTGTAGCTGGTGGTGGTTATGTTAAGGCTCACTTTATTTATTATGTTTCTAATGTTGTGGGTGCTTGAGATTTTCCATGATAAATATTTTAGAAGTTGGAAATTTACTGTAACAAGTACAATAAACATTTAAATTTTTTAGTATTATGTACTTAATTTTAAAGAACTTAAAAAGTGAACTAATATTTAAAGTTCATAAAAAATACAACATGTCTTCCTGGTTCTTATCTGTTCAAAATAAGGCTATAGACTTCAGGGCTACCTTTACTTGAATTTTCTGCCATTACCAGTTCTGGCACCTTATACAGAATATTATTTTATTTCCATGCACATGCTTATCAAAAATTAGCCAAAGGGATGTTTTTAATACTCCCTCACCTTTTCTTTTGTAGTGGCATTAAAATTACTGCTTAGACTAATTAAACTACCTTCGTCCATCTCTTTTGAAAAACAGGAATATTTTTACAAAAGGGGGATGAGACAGGAATAAGGATTGAATTTCTTAAACTATGGGAATATGGAAAGGACATTGCTAAAACCAGGTCAATGAACTCTCAACTTATCCCCTTGATTAATTTTTATATTGGCTAGAAAAAAAATCCACTTCTAAGAGAACACTTACGGTCAAAATCACGTTGTTTCAGGGTCAGCTGGCATGTAGAAAGTCACTGGCATCATTATTGATATCATTATCTTCTTTTTCTAAAAGGTGATTTTAAAGATCGGGCGGAGATGATAGATTTCAGTATACGAATCAAAAACGTTACCAGGAGCGATGCTGGGAAATACCGCTGCGAAGTTAGCGCTCCCTCCGAGCAAGGTCAAAATCTGGAAGAGGACACAGTCACACTGGAAGTTTTAGGTGACGTGCTCATATCTCTGTGACTACTGCTCCCCACCGCCAGCCCCCAGCCCAGGCGATGGTGAAGAAACTCTGGACCCCAATCAGTAAATCAGTCAGCGCCCCTTTCATGAAGTTCTTGTCTGTTGTTCCCCTTTATCTTATTAGCTACCAAATTTCTGCTGTGACTAATTCATTGTCACTAAACTTCTCTCCATTGAAGAATGAAGTAAATGTCAACTTTGCCGATGGGAGCTTCTCCCCAAGAGTATTTTTCAAGAGCTTTCAACATACGCACTTTTTCTCCTTCCATGTAAAAATACACATGGGGGCGAGGGGGGGGAGCAAAAAAATAACAAGTATTTGATGCGATTTGGTAAAGATAAGAAATTAGCAATGTACAGCTAGTAATTGTTAGATCCACTCACATATGTAATTTTTTTAAAAAGATGTATTTATTCATACAGAACTGGGGTACAAGCCAGAGGTGCAGGGGCTGGTGAGAGGCTTCACTAGAGACACAGTGGGGAGCAGAACAGGCAGATGAACGAAGTACACTGCTGAGGAGAGCGGCGGGCGGGCAGGCAGGCGAGGTCTGCTGTGCCATATGGGTCACCTCTGGGGTGGGGATTGAATTTGCACAGAAGCGGCTGTGGCTTGCTTGCAGTGCTGCGGCCTAACCTGCTGCGCCCCCAGGAAGGGCCCCGCGTAGGTAATTTTAATCTTCATTGACAACCTGTACTATTAGGGAACAAAGCAGTTAAGAGCTAGGAAGGGTCTGTACCAGGATTTGAAAGTGAAATATTTCACTGAAAGTGATTATGTTGGGTTACTGTAAGAATCATTGATTAGTAATAAGACCGTGTCCATGATTGTTTTCTCTGCAGATGTTAGGACATAGTACAAGCACCAAGCCAAGAGAATAAGATGACTTCTCCTTCTCCTGTATTATGCGGGCCCTTTCTAATACGAGTAATGCAGGAGTGAGGCAAAATCAAATTCAGAAATCCCTGAAGGCGATTGAGCTGGGAGATTTAGTCTTTTTTGCTAGATAGCAAATGCTCACAAACTTAGTTGTTTAAAATTAGCTGACATGAGCCCTCCCTTGTGGTGCAACCGGATAGGACACAGCACTGCAAGCTCACTGCAGCAGCTTCAGTGTGAGCTAGATCCCGCCCCAGAGGTGACCTCCTGACCTGACCTTCCACTGCTCCCCTCAGCAGTGTACTTCCTTGATCTGCCCATTCTGCTCCCCACTCTATCTCTGGTGAATCCTCTCAACCACCTCTGGCCTGTCCCTCAGTTCTATGTGTCTAAATAAATAGATAAATCTTTTTTAAAAATCAGTTAAAAAAAAATAGCTGACACTTCTACAGATCAGAAGTCCTGCCTGATAGAAGTTCTCTGCCCAGGGTTTCACAAGGCGGAAGAGTCAGCTGGGCTAAATTCTTGTCTCAAAGCACAGGAGGAAAGTCTGTGGCCAACCTTATGCTTGTCATTGACAGATAATACTTCCTGGTACTTTAGATCTGAGGTCCCATTCCATGCTGGCTGTGAACTGAGGACCACCCTGATCTCCTGGAGCCCACCCATATCCTGGACACGTGGCTTTCTCCATCTGCAGTCCAACAAAAACATGTCAGGTCATCTTGTGCTTTGAACCTCTGGCTTTCTCTGCTATGACCAGTCAGAGAAAGCTTTCAAAGAATTAGGTCAGCCTTTGCCACTTCTGTGTCTTAAAAGTCACAGATTAGGTACCTTAATTACGTCCCCTAATTCCTTCAGAGTAGTGTCTCGATTAGTGTTTGACTGAGTAACTGACCGTATATGCACACCAAGGTCATGAACTTGAACAGCCATCTTAGAATCCTATATCCTGTTCTCACCAGTTAGTCCTAGTCCAGACTGGTTTATTTCACAAATACTGGAGATCAGACTAACCCTAGCTTAACTATTCTCTAAATTGGACAATGCTAGATATGATGGATTTTAGTATAAATATGAGACCTGAAAATTGTACTCATTTGACTCCTTTTAAATATAGTTGGGAATGAAACAGTCAAAGCATTGGTGAGGGGAAAAGTGGTTGTGTTATTAGTTAAAGGAAAATGAGTAGTTGTGTTATTAGTTAAAGATAAATCCTGTAGGCTTAGTGAATGTTTTAACATCATCGAAGTTTCTTTTTCATGTAATTAAAGTCTGAATAGTTGCAGCAGAAATTGTAGCAGTGAAGCTGTATTATTCCACTTCACTTTTGAGGTCTGGCATTCTCAGTCCTTGCCTTCAGAGGACATCCTGGGTATTGATGTGTACTCAGTAATGGGGAGAGGTAGGTATGGTGAGTGAATGGAAGTTTTATGGATCAGGCCTAGAAAAGGCAGAGGTCACTTTCCCCCATAGCCTGATGGCCAGAACTCAGCATAAGATCCCATCTGGCAGCCAGGGGTCTGCAAACACAATCCAGTTGTGTGTCCCTATGTCAAGGAAATGGGTGTCCTGAATAAGGAACCAATCTTTAGCACAGCTGTCCAATAAGCCCACTTTTACCTGGCTCTTCAGATGCCTGTTTCGGCTTATAAATAATCAGTACCATTTGACTTCTATCCTTCAGTGGCTCCAGCTGTTCCGTCATGTGAAGTACCTAATTCTGCTCTGAGTGGAACAGTGGTAGAGCTACGATGTCACGACAAAGAAGGGAATCCAGCTCCTGAATATACCTGGTTTAAGAATGGCGTCCGTTTGCTGGCAAATTCAAAACTCAGCACCCAAAGTCCCAACAGCTCATACACAATGAATACAAAATCTGGAACTCTGGTAAGCTTACATCAAGCATTGGCCTTGTCACTAGCTTGTATTATTTGGAGGGGGAAAAAACGTGTTTGAATTTACAGGCTGGAGACTGGAGGATTGGTACCATCGCTTGTTAAGTGGAGAGTGGCCGGGCCAATGGGGTCACTGGTCGCTTGCACAGGGAGGTATTGGAAAGGGCAGCTACTGAGAAGGGAAGACAATGCAGAGCCATGGAACGAGCGTGCAGAAGTCTGCACTGGTGACTCAGAGTAGCCAAGTTCGAGTCCTGGTGCATGATGATGGACCAGGAGTTCATCCCAGCTGCCATCTTGGACTGGAAAGTACTGAGTGAGTGTCATTTATAAACTCTGGGAAATGTACAGATGCTCACTTGGGAATGGCCTAACCCTAGTATCAGCCACATAAAATAGAGACTGTGGACAACCTTGTGATAGGAGAGCTACACCATTAAGCATCATCACATCTGGGTCATCAACAATGGATGCTATGACTTGTTATTTTTAGATTTAGTCCATATTTTCTGATTGTCTGCCCTTGAAAATATCTTGATTGAAAAGTCTTTTTAAGAAAGCACTCCTTGGTGGTGCAGGAGTTAAGTTTCAGCTTATCAAGTTATTGTCAGCCATTCAGACCCCAGCAAGGGAGGTGATCTACATGGCAAAGCAGACCTCTTCTGTCTCACCCACTGCTCTCCTCAGCAAATCCCCTTGGTAGATTACCTGCTCTGCACTCCACTCTGATGAGTCTTCTCACCCAGCCCACAAACCTCTGGCTTACACTCCAGTTCTCATATGTATAAATAAAATACATCTTTAAAAAAAAAAAAGTTTTTCTAGGAGCTGATAGGAACCTCTAAATCAGGTATTTAAAGTCAGTGACATTTACAACAGTCAAGCCATGGAAACAGCCTAAGTGCCCAAATACAGATGAGTGGGTCAGAAAGATGTGGAATATTACTCAGCTATCAAAAAGTCAAACTTTTGCCATTGGCAGTAAGGTGGGTGGTGATGGAAGGGTTATGCTACCTGAAACAAGTCAGAAGGAGAAAGACAAACACCAGATGGTGTTACTTCTGTGTGGAATATAGAGAAGCCAAACAACACTTAAAGCCAAAGGAACAAAAAAGAGCTTACTGTAGATATGTGACTAACAAAACCCAAGAGGGAGGGGAGGCAGGAGCAGGGGAGGCAGGAGCAGCCTGGACCCCGTGAAGGCTGTGGGTGTTATGATGGAGGGTGCAGTGTAGCGACAGCACCTGAGGGGGGAGATGTCACACTGCTGAAACTCACACGGTGTTGTAAGTCAATGTTCCTTCGATTAAAAAAATCCTTCAAGTAAAGTCGGTGACATTTAAACATAAAAGTATTGTGATGTTTTTATCTGCTGTTTCAGGGTAGGGATGAGAGCAAAAAAAAAAATCACTGAAGTTTTTTTTTTTTTAATCTAATCTATTACCTGTCAGCTTAAAAATGTCTAATTTCTGAAAATGCAGCATCACCAACACAACCTCTGCCAAAGAATGTTAAAGGTATAATAATTTCAGTGAATTTTGCAAGAGGCATGATGTTTCCATCCCTTCCTTCCACAGATAAACACATAATAACATGCAATTCTAGGTGCTCTGGTAAATAACACTGCATTGTCTTAAAGAGATTAAAGAACAAGCTTTGTCCGTGGGTGTTGTGCCTCCGGGAGGGAGACCACTGCTCTGGCCCTCTCAGCTCCGGCAGCGTCAGTCAGCAGGTCCAGTGATTTTACACTGAGCCACTGGGCAGAAAACCTGCCGTCACACTTTGCTATATTTACTTTCAAATTTATTTTTTCTTGGAGCAGGTGCTAACGCCCTGAGGCAAGTCTGAGATGATATAGATTCACTTTCCTCAGTTTGCCTCAACCCTTGACATCTCTTGTGTTGTCAGATGAACGCACCAGGACTGAAGTAGGATGGGTCATTTTCCGAGAAAAGAGCAAACAAAGACTCCAGTGTCTAACTAATGACCCTTTTAATTGCCAGCGAGAACATGCTGGAAGATGGTTTTTTGTTTAGTCAAGCTCATTGTTGGCCTGAGTTCATGGTGAATCTTTTAGAAGTTTTCTGACTTTGAGGGGAGTGAGAGATGAGTCCAGTGAGTGAAAAAAAGAAGGGGGAGGGAGGGAAGCCTTCTAGGCCATCTCGTTGAGGTATACAAAAAGGAGGGAGATGGGAGGATGGCAAATTGTGGGTAAAGTAAAGGAAGAGAGGCAAAGGAATTAATGGACTAAATTCCTGGCTGTTTTTAGTAGCAAATAATTACATGGTGATAAGGCAATGAGGTGCTCTTTAGAAGCTCCTGGTTCCCTGGATGTGGCTACCTGCCCTTTCCTCCTTTCTCCCTTCTTTTACTCCTTACATCTGTTTCTCTACCTGCACACCCTCCCTTTCTCCTAACTTCTTTCTTTTCTCCATCCATCTCTCTAACCTCCCTCCCACCTTCCTTCTGATAAAAGCACTAATAACAATTATGATACCTATATAACAAAGTCTTTTCAGTTGCTTTGTCAGGGTGTGGAAGGAGAAAGGATAGGACTTCATCTCTTCAAAATTTTCAAAATATCTGCAACCAACAGAATGCATAATCCTATAAACTATATTAAGATTTACCTAGACTGTAAGCCACCACTTCCAGGAGGAAAGTCTGACTCTAGAGGACGTGTTGTTGGCTACTTTTGTGAACTCATCTGTGGTGCCGGAAAGTGCATTAACCTTTTGAGGCCAAGGATAACTCAGCTATCAATTGCTATCAACTTTAAGAAATGCCCAGTGCCTTCTTCACCATACCACCATGCCAATGTCAAAGACACTGACCCATGTCTTTTTAAGTCTTTCTCTGTCAAATGAAAGCAGAGACCTACCTACCACCTTGTAGATGTGGCAGATTCTTAAATTCACCATAAAGATGTTATGCGCTACATTGTTGAAAAAGGAAAGACCTAATGAATGGTAAAACTCAGGGGACACTTACTTTAAGGGTCGATTTATAGATGTGTTGCTTCAAAAGTATACATTTTTTTCCCCCACAAATAGCAATTTAACACAGTTTCAAAACTGGACAGTGGAGAATATTCCTGTGAAGCCCGTAATTCCATAGGACAGCGAAGGTGTCCCGGAAAACGAATGCAAGTAGGTAAGCGTGAAAGACTGGGAAGAAAAGTGGTTTTGCAATTAGAACAAGTGTTTGTTTGGGGTGGAAGGAGCAAGAAGTGGGGAAGGGCCGAATGATTTGAAGAATATTTTGGAAGGAATATTTAAAGTTCACTTGCTGGGTTAAAGCACTAGTTTTGCAAGTAACAAATAGCTGTTTTAAACCCATCATCTGAAGGGGCCCTCCCTGGTGGCACAACAGGTTAAAAGCACAGCACCATGAAGCTATTGCAGCCACTGCAGCACAAGGTCGATTCCCGGCCATGGGGGTGACCTACATGGGGCAGCAGACCTCTCCTGACCCACCTGCTGCTCCCCTCAGCAGTATACTTCATCAGTTGGCCTGTTCTGCTCCCCACTGTGTCTCTGGTGAATCCTTTCACTGCCCCTGCACCTCTGGCCTGTAACCCAGTTCTGTATGCATAAATAATCTTTAAAATAAATACATAATTCCATCTTCTGAAGAAGTCAATAGTATTCAGCATTACATTTTACAGTTTTAAAAAAATTTTCAAACAGTTGTTTTAAAAATAAGTTCATCTAAGTCAATATTATTTCAAAACAAAAGATAAAGACTAGGTAAATTGCTCAAGGTCAGGGATTTGATGTGCGGGTTTGAATTCAGTCGCTCAGTCTCTTCTTGCTCTTGGGCAAGTGGTTTGACCTCTGTGCCTCTATCTCCCCAAAATAAAATATTGATAAGCCATCTTTCTGATGTTGTTACAATGATGAATCAATTTCTGAAAGATATTTGACTGTTTTCCAGACCAGCATAAACCTTCTTTTGAGCCTATCAATGAGCTTTTCAATATTTGTGAAATTGCACAGAATTGCAAGTAAAATTCGAAGATGTGTGTGAGCAGAAAACTTGAACTCGCTGGACCTCAAAGATCACTGCCAAACTGGTTGATAAATAACCTGGGATGTTTCCATCTCTGAGTGAATGCAAGGGAATGCCATATGATTTTTTCCCTGAAATCACAGAACTTGATAAAATTTAAGATTCTTATAACAGTCAGTTCTGCTGATATTCCTCGTTAGTTTTGATAAAAGTCCTAGAGGGAGTTAGTGGTAAGGACTTCAAGAACAGGAAACTTCCCTATTTGTGTTCTGACCACAGAGCATCATTTTCCTTGAACTTTCTTGGTGTGATGACTGGATCTGTCCATCTATTTGACCTGCATTCATGGAGGGTTTTCTTTACATTCCAGATGATCTCAACATAAGTGGCATCATTGCAGCCGTAGTCATTGTGGCCTTGGTGATTTCTATCTGTGGCCTTGGAGTGTGCTATGCTCAGAGGAAGGGCTACTTTTCAAGTAAGTGAACTTAACCCTTTTTTGCTGGACAATTTCCTCTGGCTGTAGAGTTTTCTTAAGACACTTTATCTTCAGCGCTGACAAACTCTGTAGAATATTTTTCATTGATTTTTCTGCAGTAGAAAGTGTCGAAGATGACACGCAGGTGAGTCTTGAAGGACCTTGGCTAACATAGGGAGGAAAGGCAGAGCTGCTACATGGAACATTCCAGAAACTCCACAGAATATGTGAAAAGCTCCCTGAGGTGGCTTAGTGAAGCCACTCTGACAGCTGCTCAACGGAGAATGTATGTTTATAGTATATTTGAATGTATTTATGACCCTTATAAGTTAGGAGTTGTAGGTCTCAAGATGTAAATTAGTTTCTAGCTTTCTAATAAGAAATTTCATTAAAAGAAATCTGTGAAATAATTATCAGCATAAAATTTGGAATGTGGAATGTTCAATTGAGCACAGTTGTCTTTAGAAGAGAATTGTTCTCCACAAACTGGAAACTTACTCTGTTAGAGGTGCTTCTAAACAATATTCCTAGTTATTTAAATTTAGAACCCTTATATCTCCAAATCTCTATTTGGCAATGCAGTTTGATTGAAATGGGTAAATTTAGAAAGCAGTCTCTTTTAGTCTCTTAATACTTTCTTTATAATCAATCAGTCTTTGAAATTACATAAGATTTCAGAAGCGACAGAACTCCATCAAGGCCACTGGGACTGGTGTATACATGGGATTTTTAAAAATGGAATAGTAAACACTTTTACAGCACAAACAAAGTTTAGACCTACTGTGTCATAGTGAACACTAATTTTAGAATTCAGATTAAAAAAATATTTTATACTAAAATAGAACTTAAATGTAAAAAGGGTTTCTAATGCATATAGATAGGTATTGTTATAAAATGTTCTCATGAACAAGATTTCAAAGACAGTCCTATAATTAAAAAGAACTGCACTGTAAATTAATAAAACTAATTGTTCTTTTATATGTTCTGCTAATTTTGTCCTGGCAATGTACTTAAGACTGGAAACTAACTGCGCCCCCTGCTGGTCATCAATGAAAGTACACACAGATTGTTCATTTGAAAATTCTTGTTACCTTTATCTCTACTTGGAAAGACTTGTCTCAGTGGTTTTACTTGAAGGCTTGGCAATCACATTTGCCTTAAAATACTGAATCAAATATATGACTTAGGCAATAGTGGCTTATTAGCTAAATATGCTACTGCTGTTTCTCATGACAGAAAAAGATCTATCCAAGAGAACCACTTGAATTTCAGACAGGAGTTGGCAAGTCTGAACCAAACCCAATCTGCCCCTTGTTTTTCTTGAACCTACAGGTTAAGAATGGTTTTTCTAGATGAACATTTATAATCTATTTGCTAACGAGGAACACTAATTTTGAACTCCAGTCAAGAGAAAGGTATCCCCTCCAAAAAGTATTCCACTTATAGTTAGTATCTTGTATTCAAGAATGTGATTATCATTATCTTTTTTATTTTAATTGATAAAAATTTGGGGACTTGTTTTTTCTCTTATTGTGTAAGTATCTGTGTAATATTAATTTTTCCCCTTAACCCACAAAGCCAAAAATATTTGCTGTGTGACCCTTTATAGGAAAAATTTGTTGATCTTTAATTTAGAAGGTTTTAAATGTCACCAAATGAGAACCAAAATCAAAAACAAGAAATTTGGCCAAAATTCACTTTTTTATGAATCTGTATACCATATTAACTCTTGCATTAATGATCTATACTTATTTTTTCTAGAAGAAACCTCCTTCCAGTAAGTATACTTTCTTCAAATGCATGCCTTTCACCCCTGTTAACTACTTTTCTGTTAATCATCCATACCGAGTAAAAAGTGGGAAGTGGGGGTTACCATTTGCACAGGTCATATCCTATGGGATGTGACCCAACCTTATCAAACAATACTTCCCACTTCACACCCTGCGCCTATTTGTAATGTGTTTGATTACTTGGAAAAGAAAGTCACTGATTTATTTTGTAAGCATTTCCATGATAGCGCTTAAAAAATACTATGCTAGGTAGAAAATTTTCAAATAAAATTTTACTTAACTGTCATTTTTACATTTCATTGAATACCGATTCTGTGCCTAACACTATATTAGGCTCTGGTGACACGGCAGAAATCTGAAAAGGTCAAACCAACTCTCTCTCTGATGGAGCTCACATTGCAGTTAAGAAACGTGAGAAGTTAATAAACACATAGTCTTACATCAGCTTGTGATAAGTATCTTGGAGAAAAATTAAGTGAGGAAGAGTTTAAAGAATTCACCATATAGGAGTGGAGATTGCCCTTTTAAACAAAGGGGTTAGGGATGACGAGGTGGCATTTGAAAACGACTTGAAGGAGCTGAGGAAACAAATCACCATGGAGGAGATAACCGCGAAAAGGGTTTGAGCTGAGGAAGATTGTTGTCTGGGCCAGCACCAGTCTGTTGTATCTAGAGAACATCAACGGTAGCAACGTGGCTGGAACAGAGTGAGGATGGCAGAAAGAGGAGATAAGAGCATGAAAGAACAGGGGGTCCGATCACCTAGAGCCCCTTTGAGGCAGTTGTGAGGAGAGTGGCTTTGGTTCAGAGTAAACTGGTTTCCTTGGAGGAGTTAGAGAGAAGTAGCATCATACTATATAATTCTTTAAAGGTCACACTAGCTGCTATGTTGAGAACAAACTATATAAGGTGATAAAGAATGGCAGAAATAAGGAGACCATTTAGGAAACTACTCAGTAATTAGCAAGAGAAAATGGTGAGGAGTAATAGGATTCAGAAAATATTTTTAACATTCTGCTGGTAGATTGGATATGAGCGGTAAGAAAAAGAGAAATCAGATTGGCTCTAAGGCTTCTGAGGAGAACAGAGTTACGATTTACTGAAGCATGAAAGGTTTGAGGAGAAGCAGATTTGGGAATTTTGGGGGGAGGGGTAAGATTAGTTGGGAGTGTTTTGAAATTTTAATATTAGAGATGCCTGTTGAGACCTCAAGTAGAGGTAATAGGGAAATGCGTATAGAAATTTGGAGTTGGAGGTGATATCTGACTGGAGTTAGAAAGCTCAGAGACCTTGGTGTGTGAGTACTGGCTGAGGTCACCCCCGTTTTTGTGCAGCTGATTTGTGACTGTGCTCCCTATATATGCTGGGGAAGACCTGCTGTGATCCCTGACATTTCCCTCCACATTCTACACTGCAGCTCTAGATACTTGGTCATCACTTATGTCTTTTGAAGACAGCTGCTGCTGACTTCCTGTGCCCAGACTTCTGGCCCAAAGCAGGTGTGGGAGCCTCAGTACAGCCCAGTACAAGTCCAGAACGAGATCCAAGTCATGAGGACTAGCAGTCGTAAAGGGGGTGAGCTCAGAAAAGCAGGGTGGACGGGTGGCCTTGACACCCCAGCCTTCCCACCCAGGCAAGAGGGAGGCTTCCATTCTGAGTAAGATGGAAAGTCACTGGAAGGTTTTCAGCAAGGGAGGGTGGGACACTGTCTTCTGTGTGAGAAGAGGGTGGCACTGCTGTGGTTCGGGAGCTTAGTTGTCCCTCAGTCAGCCACACAGTGACCTAAGGGCAGTCGCTTATTCCTAGGCACGTCTCTCGTGACTCCCGAAGTTTGGTGAGAAATGTGTTGATGTTGTACTAGTGTGCCAGGGACACTGTCACAAGGTGCCAGAGAATGGCTGGTTTAAATGGAAGAAGCTAATTTCTTCACAGTTCTGGAGGCCAAAAGTCCAGGAGCAAGATGAAGCAGATTCCTTCAGAGGACCTGGAGGAAAGATCTGGTCCAGGGCCCTCTTCTGGGCTTAGCAGAGGTCTCTGCCCTGCCTTCTCATCATCTTTGTCTCTGCGTCCAAATTTTGTCAGCCAGACATGAGTCAAATTGGATGAGGAACCACCCATAGGAGTCAGTTTAACTTAATTACATCTTTAAAGACCCAATCTCTGAAACTGCTTTCTGAGGTAGTGCGGGTGGGTCTTTAACATCTGAATTTGCAGAAAGAGAGGGAAAGACCAAGTAAAGCTTCCTTTCCAAGGAAAACAGGAAATTTGAGATGGTAATGATCAAGTTTTCAAAAATAGGAAATGTTCACAAGTGGCGAAGTTAAAAGCTAGTAATTCTCTGGTTTGCACCACAAAATCTTCAGTATGGCAACTACATTAAAAGATACAGAGCTTCACGCACACACATATTCTGTTGCATGACTTTCTTTGTGAATATTGTCTCTAAAGAGCGGGAAATCAGTGAGGATTGCTGGCTTTTTTTCTGTGGGCTCATCTTTCTGCTGAGAGATTATGTGGAGGTAATTTTAACGAAAATAAGATTATCTGTTTCAGAATGGGAAGTGATAATGTAATAAATGTTGTCTTTTATATTCCACAAACAGGAAGAGTAATTCTGAATCTAAAGCCACTACAATGAGTGAAAATGTGAGTATTTTGAAGGCATGTTTATAGAAAGGTTGTGTTTAGGGAATGGGGCAGAAACATGAAGTCATTGGATGGAAATGATCAATTTTCACTCTCAATATACTTTGTACTATTACCTTTTTAAAAATACTTATTTGTGCATATAAGAACTGGAGTGTCGGCCAGACATGTGGGGTGTGAGTGGATTCACCAGAGACAGAATGGGGAGTAGAACAGACAGATCTACTGAAATACTCTGCTGAGGGAGCAGTGGGTGAGACAGGAGAGATCTGCTGCGCCATGTGGGTCAGCTTCCTGGCCAGGGATCGAACTCATGCTGTGCTGGCTGGTGATACTTTGATAGCACTGTATCTTTAATCCCTGCGCCACCAGGGAGGCCCACTATTAGTACTTCCTACCACAGGTGTTTAGAAGGAGCTAAGGCACTATCAGTCTCATTCACTATCTGGGATGGCATGAGAAAGTGGGTTGGCATTTGTATGGCAAGGGAGCTTTACCAAGCCATGTTCTCTCTCGTGGTGAGGGGCATGCACCTCTGTCCTATTATCTTTAGTTATTATCTTTAGTTCTGGAATTATCCACTACATTTCATAGATGAAGAATATGGAAATTAAGCCAGAAGCTGTAGGAGAGCTTGGACCAAGAGACCTTGCTTCTCCTCGGTTGGACCAAGCAGATGGCTTCCAATCCCGTGGGTCTAGGACTCTCCTTGGATTATTTAAAAATCACTTGGAAAATTTAGAGCTATGGAGCAGACTCTGTCATTATTAGAGGGAATAGTTCAGAAATCCTTGAAGAGATGCCCTAATCATCTAACTCAGATGGTTTAGGGAACGTGATGTAAACACCTGGACTCTGTACCTGGGAAACACTACAGGGAAGCTGAGATTTTGTAGCTCTAAGGGTGGCTGTTCCGCCTTCTGGGTTAGCTTTCAGGAATGTAAGGGATGGACTAGCATGTCTCCCACTGGATTTATTTATGTATTTAGTGTTATGATTTTGGGGGAATTTTTTTAAATGTGTGTGTGTGTGTGTGTGTAGAAGAACTGGGGTGTAGGACAGAGGTGCAGGTTAGGGTATAGGGAGAGGATTCACCAGAGACAGTGGGGAGCAGAACAGGTAGACCTACTGAAGTACACTGCTGAGGGGAGCAGCGGGTGAGACAGGAGAGGTCTGCCACGCCATGTGGGTCAGCTCCCTGGCTGGGGATTGAACTCTGGCCCTAGCAGTGATAGTGTGAACCAGGACTTACCCCTGAGGCCACCAGGGATTTAGAAGCCTAAATTTCTAGCAGTGGGTGCTGTTTCTTTGGAGCCCGTAGTACATGGTAGCAGGGGTTCTTTTAGATTTCCTTTCATCAGAATTTGGGGCTGGGAGTGGACAGCAGTCTCTTAAACCAAGTGATTCTAATGGACACTAATGTTTAAGACATGCTTACTGCTGCAGAGTTTCGCCTGTCAAATTTTGATTTTTTAAATTTGTCTACTCCAGAAGCTATGGCAAGTCACATTGTTTTGTAGTTTTCACACTGAAAGCATTTTTTCCCCCTTTCATTAGCAAACCATAAGTAATTCTACCATTATTCCAACAATTTATGGAAAATACCCCTGAGTGTGGCATGAAGTAACTTCATCCCACTGGATAATAAAGGGCCATTTGAATTGGAAGAAATAAAATCTTTTTTCTCCTCCTTTCTATTGCCCTCGTCAGGTGAGTCTCTGATTTCACCTAGAGTGGGCTTTATTGGACTAGTTTTATCCTGAGTAAGGTTTCTTCACATTTGACACTACTGACATTTTCTTACAATTTTTATACAATAACTTAAGAAACAACAATTTCTGGGCTCTCCCTGGTGGCGTAATGGGTTAAAGCACTGCATTATGAAGCTCTCTGAAGCCACTGCGGTAGGAATTCGAATTCAAATTCGAATTCGAATTCGATCCCCTGTCAGGGAGCTGACCCACATGGCGTGGCAGACCTCACCTGACCTACCCACTGCTCCCCTCAGCAGTGTACTTCGTCAGCCAGCCTGTTCTGCTCCCCATTCTGTCTGGTGAATCCTCTCACTCACTACACCTCTGGCCTGTACCACAGTTCTGTAAACATAAATAAATCAATCTTTAAAAAGAAAAAAAAAAAAGAAACAACAATTTCTAATGGTTCTTGTATACTGAGTTCTTAGAATTTCAGGTAATTCTTTGGTTTTGATGGGGCTGTGCTGTGCTTTATAGAATATTTAGTAATGCCTCCGACCTCTATGCCAGTAGCAAGCGTTGTTTCTCCTCTCATTTTCTCTTTAGGGGGAAGAATTTTTTTTGCCTTTTACCTTTCTAGATCCTTTTTTTTTTTTTTTTAAAGATGTATTTATTTGTACATACAGAACTGGGGTACAGGCCAGAGGCTCAGGGGCGGTGAGAGGCTTCACCAGAGACAGAGTGGGGAACAGAACAGGCAGATCGACGAAGTACACTGCTGAGGGGAGCAGCGGGCGGGTCAGGAGAGGTCTGCCACACCATGTGGTCACCTCCGGGGCAGGCGGGAATTGAACTCATACGGAAGCGGCTTTAGATACTCAGTGCAGTGCTTTAACCCGCTGCGCCACCAGGGAGGGCCTCTAGATCCTTTTGATTGTCCTAATAATTAAGTTCATATAAGATAGATTAACAGGAGAAAAACCCATTAATTGTATTTATGGGGAACACTCAAGATGAACTGCAAGTACATATTGATTAATTCAAATGTATTATGCCATTCTGAGCTAAGAAATGGGAGAAGGCCTGGGCTTTGGGGGCAAAGGGGGTGTGCTGAGGGGAAGGGTGATTCAGGGCACAGTACACAGAGCAGATGTTTGCCTTAACAAACAGGTCATTCTGATAAGGTTAAAAGCTCTCTTTCTGGGTGAGGCAATTTACCTAAATTCCTTTAGCTAATTAAGGGCGAGGTAAACATTTTCCCTCAAGTCAGCTGGGTCTTGGTTACCTTCAGCTTAAAAATAATCCACATGCCAAAGAAAGACATGGGCGTAGAGTTTCACAGACTTTGTCTATTATATTTAATTATTTTGCCCCCTATAATAGTTAATTAGCTACATGGTGAGCTCTATCTGCTAGATTCTTATAGTGAATGTAGCTTTATACTCATGAGACTTAATACACATACTTTTAAAAATCTTTATATGTGAATTAATATGTTGTTTTTAAATTTGGCTTTTCTTTCTTTTCCTAGGATTTCAAGCACACAAAATCCTTTATAATTTAAAAGAATTCCACCTTTGAGATATACCAAAATCACAGTTGTTACACAAGTTATTAAAAGATTACAAAACTGTTTTATCTTACTGAGATGCATGTGGAAATGAAATTGGTATCTCATTATAATTTTTATGACTGCGACATCACTTGAAATTGTTAAACAGTCTGTCAACATCTTTTGTCTGGATTAAGTTGAAACAGTCAAAATACTTGGTAATATTCTGGGGGTTGTGGAATGCTCAATGTCCTAACTTGTAGAAAAAAACTACTAAAATGTATCACACTGATCCCGAAATTAATCCACAGCACATGAAATTATCAACTGCACCCAACTCTAAGGGTCTGATTTAGAAAGTTCAAGAAATGCTCAGACAGGCAGAAGGCACCTATGGTATCATTGCTCCCAGAATAGTCTCTCTCCCCTATGTAACCCCTGTTCTGATGCTCATTCATCACTAACAAACCAACGAAAGGAAGGAAGCCAGAGTGAGTCTTCCATCCAAGGAACTGTACTTTGTTTACTTTCATTTCCGAGAACCAAATGCCACACGAAGAAAACACCCTAATGACCAGCGCTCACTCACCTGGTGTCACTGATTTCTTCATTAAACTTAATTTTCAGAGTCGAGAACAAGCCAGAGTGTCTTATTTCACCCCCTGAACTGCTTGGTGCTGTTTCTTCCCAGGAATACTCCTTTGAAGTAGATCAGTGACCTTGACACCAGAGGGCCATGCAGGGCCCCTTACCTGCGTGGGGGTGACTTCACAGCTCTGTCTCTCAAAAAATTGTGGGATGAAGTTCTGGAGTGGGCTGTGTCCCTTACTCCTATGGCTAGTGGTTTGCCTATCCTACTAGCGATAGAGAGGGTGAATGGCTGTCTGGAAAGTGAAATGAGTAGAGTTCACTGGGCCCCAAGCCTCATTGATGTGTGGGACTCAGCAGAAACCATGACTTAAAGGAGAAATCATCATCTGGTTTCTTGACAGGTGAATCATCACAAAGGCATCATGCCGGTGTTCCAAAGGAAAGGTCCAGTGATCCATTACTAGAGCAGTTAAGCCATAATCATCTATAACATTTTGGTTATTCAATTCATATAAGAAAAATATGGCTCCAGTTCTGGACAAAGTTCTGACAACTTTGAATATGTTAACCTGCTTCTAAAGGAAGCCAATAGGTGAAGGAAATCCCCAGCTTCATTGGACAAATGATGGATTAAGCACTCACTGAGCTCCTGACTGGCTGCTATCATTGCCCCTTACCCTCAAACACAATTGTCTGTGGCTCTCTGCTTCCACCACACCCCTTCAAACATTTTCTGTACAGGGCTAGATAGATGATTTTTTTAAAGATTTATTTGTGTATACACTGGGGTGTAGGCCAGAGGTGTGGCGGTAAAGAGGATTCACCAGAGACAGAGTGGGGAGCAGAACAGGTAGCAGGAAAGCAGCTGTAGATGTTAACAAGCAACGGGCAGATTTGTGCGCCAATTAAACTTTATTTACAAAAACAGCAGGCAGACAGAATTTGCTCACAGGCATCACTTCGTAACTCCTGCAAAGCATGAAAAAGATACTACTTATAAGCTGTCCTGAGAAATCTGTCTAAATATTAGTCATGCTTTAGAAGATTTGCTTTAACTTGAAAAATGCTTTCCTGTTGCATTGCCAAGTATCAAGGGGGGTTCTAAGTCTGGAAGAAGAATGTTGAAATAGAGCTGCAGCCAGTCTCCCAAGGTCAGATTCTTTTAAGGACAGAAATCCATACTGCAGGGAAAACGTAGCAACTGAGATTTACCAATAGATCAACAGCTTCTCTATGGCATCTAGGCTGGACGATTCATCAGATGCAGTGTTAACACCTAATACTTTCTTAGGGTCAAATATGTATTATACATCACCTACAGTATTATAGGCAGCTAAATAAACATCACTGTGCAAAGAATCCTTTCTTTCACCCAAGAGGCAGTATTGAGCGCTCCTTTCCCACCTCCTAAGTTTATCCACCCGTGTCTGACTTGTGCTTCCGTTTGCTCTTATTTGAGGGACTTAAATTTTAACTTGAATTGGTCAAACTTCATTATAATTCTTATCCTGATTTTATTTTCCTGCAGTGAAATTGCATTGTAGAATAGATTAGGGCTCTTGAAACTTAAAATGGCAAGTTTAAATTTTTGTTGCTACTGTAACTGAATCTCATTTGTTTGTAGTTGGGGATTTGAGTTCACTAGTTTAGAACAACTGTTTTTCAATACAACTTTGCCAAGAACTCTTACAGGTGATTTTCCTTGATTAAAGTCTACATTAATAAAATTAGCTAGAATTGTTCAACATTTTAAGCCCCACTTACCAGAGCAGGGAGGAGGCATTCACCAATTCTTGTTCACCACAACTTAGGAATTAACTCCTTAGCTGCAATTTAAGGTAAGACACATCTTTCACTTGGATGCCTGCCAACCTCTCATACCCTGAAAAACACTCTGAAAATAAAAGGCAAAAACTATTGAAGACTATATATGTGTCAGAGGTAGGAGTGAGTGGAGGTGAGGTCGTATAAAAATCTCATTCATCTCAATGATTTTATACAGCTGGCAATGTCATTTTGCAGGTGAGGAAAAAGACTGCCAGTGATTAATGTTCCCAGAACTGATCCGTGAAGAATGTAGAGGGTCTGGGTCCAGGTTCTTGTGTTTCAGGATAATTTACACAAGATAATTCTCTGCCCCCCCCCCCCATTCCTCCCTATTCCTCTACCACACCTTCCCTTCAGGCTCAGTCACTGGCCCACCTGCTGCCGCCCCACCCACACCCCCACGCCTCCTCCCTACTGCCTAGAACATCGTTGTCTTTCCTCCCTACCCCATATAAATGTTATGGTGGGGGACTTCATTCTTACCCACACTCCCCTCACCAGATGTCCCAAATCTAATTTTAGTTTTTAAGACATAAGTCAGACATGTTGAATACACTTCAAATCTATCACCGCTCTTCCTATCACCGAATCACCCCAGCTTTAGCCTCCGACTTACTCACTGACTGCACTCTTCCTTGGCGTATTTGGTGATTGTCACTACAGATTCCTCACTTAGTATCATGGTTCTCGGAACCATCAGTTCTTTGAAACTGAATCTTTAAGTGAAGCAGCATATAATGAAACCAGTTACTTTAATCAGTAGAAACAAGGGTTTAAGTAGCTGTTACTGGAAAATGATCTATAAAGCCATCACTGGATCAAAAAGCTCACTGGTTCTGGGTCCAGCCACCTGCCACTATAAATGCCAACAAGCCAGAGGCATGGCTGGAGGTGGTAGGATTCACCAGGAGTGGGGAGCAGAACAGGCAGACCATCTGAAACACAGAGGGGAACAGTGGGCAGACAGGAGTCTGCTGCGCCATGCAGGTCAGTTCCAGGGTGGGGATCGAACTCTTGCAGCAGTGGCCGGGACTAGCTTCAATGTTGAAAAGTGTTAATTCCTTGTGCCACCAGGGAGGCCCCTTGGTCACTTTTCCATCTTTCCTGTTGGCAAGATTCCTTTACCCTTTACTTTCCCCCACCCCTTTCCCATCCATCAGTGAGTACCAGATTACTCTTGTCAAATCTCCCACTTTCTGCTAACAGGCTTTTATTATTTCACATTATGGTCAAGGTCTAAATCCCTTGGCCTGGGATTCTAAAGTTTCTCCCCCCCACACACACTCACCTTGTCATACTATCAAGACCTACCTGTCCTGCCACAAGTTCTGTTTCCTCTTCAGTTGCCTTCTGCCCATATCCAGCTAAGTCCTTTACCTCCACAAGGGCAAGCTTCCCCTGTTCTCTACATTCACTCATAAATACTCCCTCCTTGCAACGAGGGTTGCTCAAATTCCACCTTGTCTATGAAAATTCCCCTCATCCTCCCTGCCGGAAGGTTTCCCCAGTTTCATCCGGGAACATCTGTGGGTCCTTTGGAAAGGGATTCCTCAGCAGGTTTGACTCCAGCTAGCGTGGGCTGCCACAGCATACATACGCCCACCCCTCTTTTGAAGCGACCTAAACTGATAAAGGCGATTCTATTCAATCTCCACCAACCCCATCAGAGATGAAGTGTAAGGCTTGGCTGTTCCCCTCCTTTCCCAGTAACTCACTGAGTCAGCCAGTTACCAAAATTTTGATGCCTGCTACACACTTCATCACTTGGGCAAGACATTGCCAAAGAGCCCATATCTTCACAGCAAGTTGCTTTGGAGGCCCCTGCCCCCCACAAACTTTTCCTCTATCTGGGTCACACTATAATCAGAATGCTCTGTAATCCTAACTGTAAAGGCAGAGGAAGGTCCTGGCTTATTGGTCCTCAATGCTTTAACATTTGATAGACGTCAAAACATGGCATTCATGTAGACATTCAGAATTCACTTGAATTTCCTGAAAAATGCTATGACAAATGATTTATAAACCGTGTCTTCAAGTTTGAAAGTGTGTACATTTCTCCACAGGAAACACTCCTTGGGCCAGAACAGCTCTACTTAGGTAGCCGCGTCTGTAACTGTGATACTCCTGTGCACCCACAAAAATCTGGCAGGTTATGTTGATCCAAGGTCTCCATCTGCTTCCGCACAAACAAATGGCAGATACCCGGCATCGCCAAATTATTTATTTGGAATCAGAATTAAAAGTACATTTGACAGCGGTGAAATGTATGTTTATTCTGATACTTCTCACAAGTTGTAAACTAATGCAGGATAAATTACCAGATCCATTTTACATCATTTCTTTAGGACTGTGGTTTGTCGATGACCTCAAACTTGGGTTCTAGGATGAAAAATGGATTCAAATTAGCCATTCTGCAATAAACTTGTATTATCTAGAATGCTTCACTATTTACTAACCTTGTATTTTTTCAAAGTAAAAACCTACCATTAAAAAAGTTTTACATGGAAATAAAATAATTGCTAAAGACTTAAACACTTAACTATCACAATTAAGAGGATGACATTCTCATGTTCTCCAAGTGCCAGATGAAGAATAGGCACCAAATACCCCAGAGTAGAAAGCTGATTAACAATGCAGTCAGAATCCAAGTTCAGGGAGTTTAGTATCAGATGCCCACTGTGAGTGGCTCTGAGCTGCTGCTGGCTGGCCAGTCAGGGGCAACTGTGCCTCATTTGCCATCTGTAAGTCACAACAGAGCATTCCTTGACCCCATGCGGGATAGCCCGAGTCACCTGGCAGCCCGGGAGCCCTGAACGCTGCTGCCCTGATTAAGTGACGTCTTCCTGGTGCTTTTGGGTAACTCTGCCCGTGGCAACATCAAAGGACGCCAATGGCGCTTGACATTTGGTCCATGTCCCCTTCTCTGTTTCTCGTAAAACTTTGTCCACTCCAACCCACCCTTCAGGATTTAGTCCCCACATCACTGTCGCACAGTCAGCTTTACCAGCCCACGTGCTTTCATTAAACGGCCTGAGAACTTCTGCTCAAGGAGCAGTCTTGCCTGGCACACCTGCTTCAAGACTGTTCCAGCAGCAAGGCAGCAACAAAGTTCCTGTCACAACATCCCCCCACTTATATAAATCTGTCGCAACAGCCTACATTTATCCCATGGTGTCCCATGCTGAGTCAGTATCCAAACAAATTCACACAATGTTTAACTCACTTAATTTTCCAACTAACCCAATTATAAATGTATAAATATTCAACATTTAATGATCTCCCATGAGGAGGAACCTGTGATTAGAGAGACTCACCTTCAAATTTGAAGTTAGGGAACGTATTCATATCTGCTTTGCCATACATCTGCTTAAGCTTAAAAAGCTCTCTATCCAGCTCTTGCTGATATTCTGGGCCAGTATCAACGGGCCCTCCAGATGCCCTGTTATGTAAAGGAGCAAGTAAAAACTCACTAAAGCACTCGTTTACAAAAACAAAATTCTCACCATCATCTTAGTAGACCTCTTTAAAGGGTCTCTTTTTCCAAAAGAAAACCAGTATTTCCACTTGAATTCAATTAAACTATCTCAATATGATGAGGCATCACATAAATGGAGCAAATGAGGCAACTTCAAACAATGCGACAGTCAAGATTTGTTAGCATCCAGGGTTATTTTATTGAGTCAGAACCTCTAGGCCTGTTTCAGTAAGAGATGATGGCTACATCTGGGCGGACTCAACAGCTGCTTCCACTTGACATCATCTCTGCTTGTAATGACCTTATAAACCAGAGCAAGGTACAAGGCACTCTAAACTTCAGTTTCAACATCTAGAACTAAAGACCTATTTGATGGGAGTGTTAAAGAGAATCAAACGAAAATGTATGTGTGCCACTCACCATACTTGATTTCCATTGCTCACTAATAAATTGCTTTTAAAAGAGCTTAGTAACTTCTAATCTCTACAATAGGGACAAAGAAAAAATTATTTCCTAATTTCTGGGGTTTTGTCATATAGAATAAAACTATATGACGTATACAAACATTTAGGCTGGCAGGGAATACATGATAAGCTTCAAAGACACGGTCTAACAAAAAGTTGACTTCAGTTAAGGAGAGCTCACTTTTTAGCTCAAAGAATTTCGTTTAAATATATTTTTGCAAATATATTTCGGGTCAGGTTTCATTTGGCAGCCTTCTGAAACTGAAAAAGCTCAGATGCGGCAGTGGTAAAGCGCTGCTGGCTGTGGGGACTAAGCAGGCTAGAAGGAAAAGCCACATATGGAAGGGCTAGAATGTTAAATTGGGAGTTTTTATTTTATTTGAGAAGCAATAAAGTGACAAAATTATTGAAGTTGGGCTTTGGGAAGATGAATTTAACAGCAGCCAGCGAGGTCTCAGTTTTTGTACAATTTCTGCTGTTGGTCATAAAGTTAATGTCTGTGAATGAACAGAACATTTACAAGTGAAAATTCCACCACAGGCAGTAATATTTTCACATACGCCTCTACTGACAGCATGTGGACTTATGTTCAAGAATTTCACAAAACATAAGACAGCTCAAGTTTAAGAACATACTGTTTCCTGACGCGGACCTAGCTTCCTTCTGGATCAGCATGTGCAAAAGAACTTTGCGACAAGAGAAATGCTCTGCCTGGCTAAACAGCCACGTCTGCCCACCACCAACAGAAAAGGGGCTCAGCAGGCCGAGGAACTGCATGTGTCATGTGACTGATGAAGATGCACATGCGGCTGTTGTGGATGTCTACAGAAATGTACCCTGCAGTTCCAGACAGGACCTTCAGTCAGCTACTTACACGACTGTCTAGTTTTACGATCTACAAGCTTTAGAATCTGCTTTGAGAAGATTTAGTCAACCTCAGCTATGTACTAGTTACTGATAGGAAATGGCTAGTGCAACTTTAACATGCACTCTTACGACAACAGGCCCAGAAGTCATCTCCGTCAAATGAACTTACCTACCAGCCCACTTGTTTATTGCTTTATCCCCACTTTAATATGGTGACCCGGCCAAAGCAAACTAAGTATGCTGTTTATTTCACTTAAAAAAATACTAGGCATAGTAATTTATTAAACCACTTAAGCTCTAAGTCCCACGTAGGTACTGCTATTATCATCCCATCTCATTTATGAGAAAACCAAGGAACAAAAGTTAAATAACCTGCCCAAACGGCAGAGCTCACAGCTCATCTAGGACACTTCATGTTGTTGGCATAAATGAACGAACTTGACTTCTTACTGAACAGGCTTTTAAGGACAATTAAAGTGCAAAAATCATTGATGTGAAGATGCTGCCACATCTCCACAACAATCAAATTCCCCAGCTAGTACTGGCCACCAACTTTTCTTTTTCTTTCTTAGAGATTATTTTTTATTTATGCATACAAGAACTGGGTGTAGGCCAGAGGTGTGTGGGGGTGAGGGTGGTGGTGAGAAGACTCACCAGAGACAGAGTGGGGAGCAGAACAGGCAGATCAACAAAGTACACTGCTGAGGGGGCAGTGGGCGGGCCAGGAGAGGGCTACCGCGCCATGTGGGTCAGCTCCTGGTGGGGGATTGAGCTTGAGCGAACAGCTGCCACTAGCTACTGCAGTGCTGTGCTTCAACCTGTTGTGTCACCAGGGAGGGCCCTGTGGTCACCCACTTTCTGAGCAGTGTCCAAGTCCCAGTATCCTTTAATTGATCCCTTCTAGGCTCTCTGCCAGGTCTCCCAGACCGGTTTAGTATCTCAATATCCAGTCTCTGTTATGTTTAATATTCTCATTGCTAGGAAGACAATCAAGCTTGGTTATATTTCCCTAAAAGGTCTGTTCTATTCCAACTTCTCTAATATACTATGATTAAATTACCTTCCTAACAGAGCAATCTTGTCCAACCCCAGTATCCTACTCAAAAATCTTTAAATTTTCTTAAGCGTCCAGAAGATACTATCTTCGCTGCTGGCCTACAGTCAAGGCCTTCCATAATCCCACATTTTAACCCCGTCCTGTACTTGCTGCTCCCCTGATACTCATTCCCCGTACTCTTGGGAAACGTATTACACAATCTCCTGGTACACTTTGTACTTTCTGGATTATGTGTCTTAGCTCCCATCTCTCCTCTGAAAAGATATTCTCCTCCCCCTGCATCTATCCACCCAATCTGGATCAACAATGCAGATGCAATCCACCCAATCTGGGGTAGACCCCGGGTGTGGGTGTCTATGAAGGCTTTCTAGAGGTTTGAGAATCCTTTCAAGGTGTAATTAAGATCATGAGTAAATTCTTTTCTTTTCTTTTTTTTTTTTTAAGCTGAAACAATCTATACCTGTCCCTGATTGTCTAGGAGAGAAAGAATGACCTCACACACTACCTTCAATGCCAAGATAAAAGTCACCCCGAAACTGCTTCCCAGTGTCTCCGGCTAGAAAGAAACGCTGCATGTCACTGTTAGCATCTAGCTCATTCACCTGGCTTACAAGCTTCCCAGCTCCATGTATTTTAAGATTAGAAATGCTATGTGGCTTCTTCCTTTGTGGCCCACATTTCACAGGCTGTGTTTTACACATAGTAGACAAATATAACTGCTAGGAGTCGATGTATACTACTTTCCGAGGCCCCAGGGGTTCGCTAAGGTGGTCATTCTTCTTCCAAACTGTGTGACCCTAGAATTCTGGTTTCTGCTCACTTGCTTTATGCCACCTCATCTTTTGTCCTATAGTATTCCCAGAAATACATGCTTACAAATATGCCTATAAATAACCTAAACAGAGAAAACACTGTGTTTATATAATGTTCCCAAATCATGACTTCACAGAAAGGGTACAAAACTGCGTTAGAATATTTCAATTATGTTTTTTTCCCTGCCAATTAGCTTTATGAGTTTATGTCAAAAGGATGTCATTTTCTCAAGTGCAGCTCATAAATGACTTCTGAGATTCTACCCGAGTCTATAAACTGACTATAATAAATGGCATATAAGGACTTATCAAAAATGACAACAGATTTGATGGAATTCCCTCGGAAAATATGTAAGGGGGATAAACTTAGGAATCACCAAAAAAATCAAGATACTGCTGTATTCTTTTGGAACACCAAAATGAACCTTTATGTCAAGAATCAGTTCAGCAAAGCTCTTAGACACTTTCAAATATCAAGAAATTAGCTTTATTTCATGCATACTCTATTTGTGTTAATACCACAGCTGATTACAGCCCACTTACTGTCGCTTCGTTTTGTATTCTCTAATCTTGTCCACAAAGATTTTCTGTACAGGATCAAGTTCCTTAAATGCCACTGCCGTAGCACCAATGTTCCTCCTGAAGTGAACTGAGACTGCAGACTGAATGAGCGAGGAGAACTTCAAGAGCCTCTGAACAATCATGGTGATTCTGTTACAGAAATCAAGCACCAAAACATTAATATACTTAAAAATATACCCCAAATTAAAAAGTAGCTATGCTTCTACCACAAGCGGGAAGTAGTTCTTCTGTTACAGAACCCAGAAACATCACAGAACTTATTTACAGAATTCAGTCAATGCGAAGCCAGCCAACTGACCAGCACTCCTCCCTCTGCAGTCTGCATCTTAATTCAATTGACATCTTAATCAAAAAGTCCTGAGGCCTAGGAGCAGCTGGCCACAACTCAGGAACACTGCAACAATGCTGAAATTGTAAGGGGTTTGTTTTTCCAGGCCTGGGTCTTCACTACGATTACCTGCAAGAAGAAAGCATAAAAAGTGGGGTGGGGTGTTTCTTCTCTACAAACTTAATCTTGGAGCAGAGGAAACAGTGGAGCGAGAATGTTAAAAAAAAAAGTCAAAACAAAACTGCCTGCAGCCAGTGAAGAAAGAACAACTCTGGATCGCAAGTCACTGTAGCAGGCCTGCCAAGAGAGGTGGCCATGGGGAATGGACACAATTGCCTCTGTAGGTAGGACTGATGGGGGGGGCTCTGCTTCCCGGGCCCCCAGTGTAAGAAACAGCTCTGCTAAACCTGCAGGACCCCACTGATACCAATACGGTAACAGCAAGGAAAAACAGCAGCCAGGCCAAGAGAGCCCACCCTGACAGGGATAAAGAGGCAGCCCAACCTAATCAGTAAAACAGAATTTGTGAAGGAGCCTGAAGTCTGAATTTTAAAACTAAGGTCTTATCTCCCAATTCTTTAGATTTCTTAAACTAAAATACTTGATTCTCCAACTCGAAGATTTCACTAGATGAAAGATCTCAGTTGAGCCCTCATTTAGGATCTTGAAAGACAAAATGCAAAAATATTCAAATTACAATAAAAATATACAAATAGGAATTCCAACGGAAAGGAACAGATAGGAGGCCATCATTAAGAAACTCCCCTCTGAGAAAAAAATGGGATCTATGAGAGGCCTGACCAAACTCTATGTTGGGATGATAATAAAATAATCTGGAAAATTTTACAACCCTTAAAGTGAAACTCTGAAATGCTTTATGATTTCCGTGCCCCATTCTCCAATTATCTTATCACCACCACCATCTTACTGACAATGGATTTCTATTAAGTTATAATTCTACTGCTTAGTGTGGTCATGTAGTCTGTAGAAATATACTAATTGTGCAACAGGCTTATATTAATACATAATTGGGAGTAAGTCTGTAGGAACTTTACAGCATTTTGTTAACTTACTAAAAACTTGCATTTGTATTTTGTGTCTTCACTATCTTGTCTTTCGGCTAATTTTCTTGCTAGTTACCAAATGAAATACTATAATCAACATAATATCCTTCACCTACCAGGATAAAAGCACATTTATTTCAACAAAGAACTCATCATGGATCTTACCCTATCAGTGACTACTTCTCAGCAAATAAATGACTTATTAAAGGTGCTACTTATCATCATTCCCACTTTAAATATGCACAAACTGGGTTTTATGGGTTAATCTAGTCCAAGGTTACACAGTATAACCTGACAGCACACAATTTTAAAAACTATGCAACTTTTGGAAACAAGTACTACAGGTAAGCCCATATAACATTTGTTCAGTCTGGGTCTTTCGCAAAGCATCCAAATGTATTTTCTTTTACCCTACACAACACTGTTAGGAATCAGAGGAAGGTGCTTTTATCCCTTTATAGATAGGTATAACTTCCTACAGAAAAGGTATTAAACTGTCCGTATTCCCACAGCTAAAGGAAATCAATATGCAACTGCAAAAATTTGTTAGTCTTAACGTAACAAGTTCATTTTTTCAATTTCTATTTTCCAAGTACCAGTGATTCCAAGCACCCATTCTAATTCTGGTCGTCCTGAGCCCCAAGCCTACACCTTCACTAAGTTGTCCTCCATTGCTAAGTCCTACAGGGCACCAAAAGTCAGCTTGTCTTAAGACAAGTCGTAATTTGACTTGTTCCTTCTCTTTTCACTTTTTTCACTGATTAAATTCAAAGCGAAAATATGGAGTGAGGTACTCAAGAAGTCGAGTCATAACAAACACGTAAATACCGGGGTATTCTAAACTATCGGGTGCTACAAAAGCCTGTGGTAGGGATTTGGCACCATCGCCCAGACTGGGGAAGGCAACCCAAGACAGGATACAGCAGGTACACAGGCCCTGTGGTGGGATGTGGCGAGGTTCTCCGTTACAGTAACAGGTGACTCCCCCAAAATTAGCCTGCCTGCGGCCTCTTCAGTGTACTTTTCTAAAGTCATCCAGCCCCCACGTCAGGCTCTTTTTTGCCCTCAGGGAAACTCTCCCCTAGTTCGAGATCCTCCCTCGGCCCCTCCAGTTTGACCTCTCCCCTACTTCCAAGCTCCTCCCTTCTCCGCCCCCAAGTTCCCGCCCCGTTTCTCCGGGTTTAAGAGCTGTAAGAACGTGCAGGGAGCGGGACAATGTAAGACAAAGGCCCAAGGATGATGCATTATTAACACTTTGGGGGCGGGATAAACCTGTAGGGTTCCTATCGCCCCTTCTTCCCTCCTAAGGTGCACGTCTTGCGTGCATAGCTCAGAACCAGTCCCCGCGCCCGAGATGGGGCAGGCGCGCACCGTGACCTTGCGCCGCCCTAGCCGGACTGGGGATCATAGACACCCCCATCCCCACCCCCACCCCGCCAGGCATTCAAGCCTCCGCGCCCAGGACTGCCCCCAATAGGGTGCTCGAGGTTACACACGAAGTCCTTCGCACACTTAACGGGCGCAGAGGTCACAGTGACCTCGGAGCAGGTCCTGAGTTGCCGGGGGCCTAGGAGTGCTCTCTGCTTCAGTAGGGCAGAGGTAACGGGCGACCGAGGCCCGGAGTACAAACTCAGAATCGAAATCCCAAGAGGCCAAGCCGGTCCAGCTAACCTTCCAGTCACCTTGCACCCGAGCAGAAACCCAGAATCGAAGTCCCCAGAGGCCAAGCCGGTCCAGCCTCCCTCCCAGTCACCTTGCACTCAGTCCCCGAGCTGCCAAAGCCACCGCCGCCACCTCCGTTCTACTTCCGGCCCTGACCCCGCCCTCACCCGCCTACCCGCCATCGCAATGCATTATGGGCCGCCGTTTCAGTCGGTCGACACTCACCGGACAGGAAGCGTCTCGGAGAAAGTCTGCGACCGGACGGCTCTAGGTGAAACAGAAGCCAAACAGGAGGAGGAAGTGGAGGGTAAGTGCTTCCGGGTCCCCTGGCGAAGCCTCCGCCATCTTTCCTTCGCCTAACTTGACCCGCTCTCCTTTTCCCTCCAGGAAAGCTGGTGGTGTACGCATGCGCACTTTGATTCGCCTCTCCCCTAGTTCAGCCCCCCCCTCCCCCGCCCCGAGTCAGAGTCCCGTTCCTTGGGGTGGTGGAGGTGTATGATTGTGCGGGGAAGGGGCGAGCGTGTAAAACAAAGAGGATTGGGGCGTTGTGCGCCCTTGTGCCTCGCGAGCCTCCGTTGCCTCGGGCGTTCGTTTCGCGCAACCTGCTGGGAGTTGTAGTTCAGGACCCGGGGGCGCCTGGGAGGCGGGAGGGGGGGTTGGAGTTTCTCAGCGCCGATTCCGCGGGAAGGGCCCAGGGGCCTCACACTTCGAGTCGCGGGAGCTGCACGTCTTACCCGGAGAGACGCTGCACGTGGAGCCCGCGCCACTGCTCTTCTCAGCCTGGAGCGCGGGCGGGGGCGCCTGGGCCGACTCCGGAGCGGGTGAGTGCGGCCGCGCGGGGGGAGGAAGCGAGCGCGGGCCCGCGCGGGCGGCCTCGTTCCGGGGCCTTCTCCCCACCGCGGCCCCCCCGCGGCCGCCTCTGTGTTTTGTTTCCGCTGGTCCCCGGCTCTGTGACTCCCATTTCCGTTCGTGGAGACTTGAGGGAGCCGGGTGGGGAGGGGCGGGAGAGGCTGTGCGGGGAGCGGAGCGGAGGGGCGGGGGTCGCGCGGCGCGGGGCTCGGGGAAGCCGCGCGCCCCGGGGCCCGGGCCGGGGTGTCACCTCTCAGCGCCGTCCCGCCCTCTCGGGGCCCTCCCGGCGGCTCGCCGTGCCCACCGCGGTGACCTGCAGCGTCCGGAACTGAGGAAGATGCGAGACCGAACCTCGCCCCCGACTTGGCGGTTCGCTCTCGCTTGTGGTCCTGCTGTCTTTGGGGAGCCGACCCCGAGCGGCTTCCGAACCTCCTGTTCCGGCCTCGGTGGTCTTTGGTTTCTTTTCAAAGCGAAGAAGAGGAGGGGGAGACGATGCGTTCCTGCTTACCCACTTTTCAAGTCGTCGTTTGGTGTGCAGGAGCAGAAACCGACCGTGCAGGTTTCGGCTCCGGGCTCCTGGTCTGACCGGGGTAACGGCGGGCAGGCAAGCAGCGGTGACTTGGGGGTGCGGGCGGCGGGGACGACTCGTAGGCGGAGCGAGCTGGGCAGTAACATCCCTGGATTCATGTTATCTCACGCTTCAGGAGACACTAACGGGTCATTTGTTTCGCGTTGACCTTCAGATCGTCACCTCTCTCGGGTTGGAGCAGGCATTCTGCATCTATTTTTCACCGTAATCTGACAAAGGTGGATTTTAAATCCCTTTCACTTGGGTTGCATACAGAGGAGCATCTGATACGTTTGGAGTCATAAAATAACGAGCTAGATGTTAAACTGGGGGAAAGCATGAGAGCATGTGAAGCCGGGATACTAAATTAAAACTGGTGACTGTGATCTCAACTTCTATGTATAGAATTTCAAACTTAGAGAAAACGTAAAATGTGTATTTAGTGACGTTAGGCAGTGAACACCTTTGGGTGGGTAGGTGGGGGGTTCACCTAGTGTTCTTTCTCCACACTTAGCATTCTTGGGCTCCACCCTCCCACCCCCAATCCACTTTGCTTATCTAGGGAAATGGAGTATGGGGTGGGGAGGGCAGTGCTGGGGTGGAAAGGCCCCAAGTAATATTCCCTTTTCTTAAATTTATTAACCTAGAATCCAGGGGCATCAGTTCCAGAAAAATGAAAACGTACTCAAGCACTAATACTAAAGATTTGGGCGATTTCCCACACCTCTCCATTACTTCTCTAGGCTAAATTTACCTATATCTCCTTTGTTTCTCTTGGCTAAATTTAGAGAACTGAAAGTATCTGTCAATGCAGAGACTATCAGTGATTCCCCCCCCCCCAAAGTATATGGAACTTTTGTTTCTTTATTTGGCACCTTCTAAGGAGATACTTTAATTATTGGGAGAATATCACATTTGAGAACTCTCAGCCTATATTAAGGGAAGCTTAGAAGCCGTTATGACCATTTGTCATCTGCTTCCTCATTAGTATTTGTTTTATCAGTTGCTAGAAAATTAATTTGTTTTCTAGTTTTTTTTTTTAAGATTTTATTTATTTGTGCATACAGAACTGGGGTACAGGCCAGAGGTTCAGGGGCGGTGAGAGGCTTCACCAGAGACAGAGTGGGGAGCAGAACAGGCAGATGGAGGAAGTACAACAGGCTGATGAAGTTCACTGCTGAGGGGAGCAGCGGGCTGGTCAGGAGAGGTCTTCCGCGCCCTGTGATCACCTCCGGGCAAGCAGGGATCGAACTCATGGGGAAGTGGTTTCAGCTTCTTAGTGCAGTGCTTTAGCCGGGCTGCGGCCACCAGGGAGGGCCTGTTTTCTAGTTTTTTAAAAAAGTAGAAAATGGAGATGGTGTTGTCTGTACTTACATAAGTGTAAGCCCTGAAAATAAAATATCTTTTAACGTTGCTATTCTATTAAGCATTGTTCTGTTTCTACCACCCATTCATGTACATATTTTACACTATTTATTGTGTGTGTTGTTATTAACTGCTTCTAAAGTTCTTTAGTGTATGTTTCTTTACATTTTCTGAGAGACTTTCTTACTTCGAGTACTCGGTGCTGGCTGGCTTCAGCTCCCAACAATCACTGCAAAGCTGCCCTTAGTATCCTGGTATCAAAGTGAGTCTTGATAATAAAATCAAATCTTGCTAGTAGTCGTATGTCTCTGGAATGCTTATCTCTTGTTGCCTCCTTGATTTGAACAAGTGCTGCCCGATTTTTCTCTAGTATAGCTAGTGCTGTCTGACCCCATCGAGAGAGGCAGAGGATTCCTATGTTCCCAGGCCCTTAATTTGCCACAAATACACATAGGGAATAAAGTGGCAGGTCCTTATTTTTAATTGCATTTTTGAATGATTTCAATTTGAACATTTCTTCATATTATTGTCATTTTGGTATCCCTGTATGTCAAGTTCCTTGTCTTTTACCTGCTTTTCTAATATTGCTTGATTTGGGAAAGTGGGGATGAGTTGTTAGCAGCTTTCATGAATTTATTATGTATGCTAATCACTAATGCCTTGTCACTTGGTTATTGGATATATCTGTAGCTTATCATTTTTTATGCAATCCATCATTTTTTCTTGTGTCGTGGGAATTTTAAGAAATTATTTTCTGTGCTTGGGCCACAAAGTGTCACCAAAAGCATTTTTTTTTGCATTACAGTTTCAAATGCAGAGTCAATTGTATATGGTGTGTAATAATAGTTGTTGTAACATTTATTCAGTACTCACTAAGAGAGTATCTATCTACTCATTGTGAAAGACTGTTTGGAATATTTTGTATGCATCTATAAACAAATATCCCTGCCCTTGTTCAACTTACTGCTGAGGATGAATTCCGCAATTTTCACATACCATCAGATAAAGAATAAGCTTTATTGGGGAAAAGGAACACTTTGTAGGCCAGGGTCAGCAAGACTATTATCTCAACAAAAGTCTGCTGGGGCCAAGCCAGTCTGCTGGATGAACAGTGAAGTGTGTCTAAGTGGAAAGCCCATCCCATTATTACTGTCTCACAGGGCATGTGTGTGAGAATAAGCTTAATAATGTAGGGAAAGTCAAGACCATTTTCATAGCAGGTAGTTTATATCTGAGGGCCTGCTGTGTATAGCTAAGTTGTCAGAGAACCAGCCTGCCAGCAGTGAAAGGTGGGAACTGAGCACTCCCTCGTGGCGCAGCGGGTTAAAGCACAGCACTAAGAAGCTAAAGCCACTACAGCATGAGTTCTATGCCTGCCTGCCCTGGAGGTGATCCACATGGTGCGGCAGACCTCTTCCTGACCTGCCGGCTGCTCCCTTCAGCAGCGTACTTCATCTATCTGCCTGTCCTGCTCCCCACTCTGTCTCTGGTGAATTCTCTCATCGCCCCTGCATCTCTGGCCTGTACCCCAGCTCTGTATGCATAATACAGAATAAATTAAAAAAATCTTAAAAAAAAAAAGTGGAAACTGAAGTAATTCACCATCCTGCTTTCTCTGTAAGGGAAGACTATTCTATTAATCCTCTGGTAACAAATTGCTAAACTTCGTAGTTTAAAAACACCACCAATTCATTACATAATTCCAAAAGTCAAAGTCAGAAATGGGTTTTTCTGGGCTGAAATAATATGTTGCCAGAGCTGTTATTTTTCTGGAAGCTCCAGGAGAGAAGCTTCTAGAGGATTCCTGTTTCTCAGATTGTGGCTTCTTCCCTCCACCTTCAGAATCAACAATAGCTGGCTGGTAAGGCCTCAGTTTGAGTCACCATGGAATTCTTCTGATTTCCTCTTCCATTTGTAAGGCCCTTGTGAATACACTGGATCTACCTTCACAATTTAAAATATTCTTTGTATTTTATGTCAACTGATCAGTAATCTTAATTCTTCTCTGCCAAGTGTAGCTAATCTCTAACCTAATAGATGCATTTACATTCCTTTTCAACCTTACAGATGGTAATGAAGCTCTGCCCTCATTAAGGAGAAACCATACTTTGAATTTGGTCTTTTCCCAGACTAGCAATGTTGTGTTATGATGCTGTCGTGCTGCTGGGCAATGGCAGCAAACCCAGCATTCTGTTTTCCATTTTCAGCACAGTATTATATAAGCTACTTTAAAAGGTAGATTCATGTAAATCTAAGTATTCTGAGCATGTTTAAGGTAGGCTAAGTTAACCTGCATTCCATAGGTTAGGTGTCTTAAGTGCATTTTCATCATATGATATTTTAACTATTCATGGTATTTTAGGCCATTATCAGTCAAGGAATAACTGTATATCTCATGGAGAAAATGAGATTTGAGCAGACAGTGAAGAACAGGAGGGGGGTGGTGGTGGTTAGCTAAGCAGACATCTGGGGGAAATAGATACCGAGCCAACTGCAAGCAAAAGCAAAGCCATGGGGCAAGAAGATGCAAGGACTAGCAAGGTGGTCAGTTCTGAAGGAGTCAGAACAGTAATGGGGTGGGGGTAGGTAGGACTTTTTGATCATTGTGAATTCTTTACATTTTATTTAATTGTGACTTTATTAAACAAATGCTATGAAAAAAGTATCACACTTGCAGTATTGACTGAGAATAGCCTGGAGGGGGACAGGGGCACTCCCAAAGGGAAAACCTGAAGAGCCTGTAGCAGTACTCCAGGTAAGCCTTCGAGGTACGCTCTAGAGAGCCTGTCTTTGA